TATGTACATCTACTGAATCCTTTTAGTGTTGCTTCTGTGTGTACATCTCTAGAGCTGACCACTTGGGACTTGATAACCTATTGGGGATCTTCTTCCCGGAGAAAGCTAATTCTTCCTCTCAGCAGCCATTGGTGCCTGTAGCTCTTCATCTAGGTGGGACCTTGTGAAATTTCTTCCATTCACATGACCATGTCAACTGGTAGTATTAACACAGGCCTTGCTTAGGAGAACCTATTGTTGAGATTTCTTGGGTACAGCTTCCCTGCCTTACCTAGAAGACACTGTGGAGCAGCAGGTGTCCTGGTCCTCTGGCTACTACAGTTTTCCCCTCTCTCTTCTGTCATGTTCCCTGAGCCTTAGGTGTAGGGGTTGCATTATACATGTATTGATTGGGGCTGGGCACCCCATGGTCACATATACCCTGAGTTTTTACCACTTGTGGATCTCTCTAATAGCCTCTATCTGTTTGCAAAAAGAAACTTCTTTGATAAGGGGTGAGAACTACACTTACCTATCAATATAAGAATAAGTATTTAAACTAGGTGTGGTGGTGCATGCCTCTAATCCCAGCACCCAAGAGGCAGAGGCAGGCAGATCTTTGTGAGATTCAGGCCAGCAGGGTCTCCATAATGAGTTCTAAGCCAACTTGGGCTGCAGGGAGACCATGTCTTTAAAAAAAAAAAAAAAAAATTCAGAATATACTTAGAAATTATATTGGTTTAAGCTCTAAGATCTATGACCTCTTCAGCCACCAATATTTGGCTGGGTTTACAGTATCAGACATGGGTTCTCGCCCATCAAGTGGGCCTTATGTCCAATTAGACAACTGTTGGCTTCTCCCAAGATAAAACTGCCACTATCGCCCCATTCTGGATATTTTGCTGGGCTTGTCACTGCTGGGATTCATAGTCTTTATAGCTAGGTAGGACTATTGGTTGTTTTCCTACCTTAGCAGCTTGCATAGCACCTTCCCATACTGAGAGTACTAGTCCTCAAGTATAGATTTTGAAGAAATTCCACAATTATCAAATGAAAAACCAAGCTAATTCTGAGCTTTGTTTCTCACGAGCAAAAATCAATAGCCATTGTGATGAATTAGCTCTTGATGAATTTCTTTAGGATTAGAGAAGTTCTATTGTTCTTCTAAATATGTGTTTTCCTCTTTAATTTCATTCATTTCTATTTTAAAGTAATAATAAAGCAAGCATGTTCAAAATGTTGTTCAAAGTTTAATTCTAATTGTAGGCTGTTTTACTTCAAACACCTCTCTGCAAGGCTGTAATGCCTTTTCAAACTAAAAATTCTACTTTTAGAATGTCATTTAATTTCTGGCAAATTCAGGTCTTTAGAAAATACTTTATTATTCGTCTTGTGATTGTATCACATGAATCAAGAGTTTTGAAGAATACACGTAAGTCATTTTGTGATATGATAGTTTTACCTACAACTAGTCTTTCTGGAATGTTCAGATGTTAAAATTTATATGTTGGGATTCCTCCTTTGACCATAAATTGCAATGAACAAAACCCCTGAATTTTCATTGTATGGATATAACAGAATTTGTTAACCTAGATTTTCTATAAATGATTAATTTTTCAAAACTACAAGCCATATTTTTAGCTCATTTTCACTTAGCCAACAAGCAGTTTGCCCACCACAAGTCAGGCCTTGAGCTCATCTTGAGTTAGAGCAGACCAGGAGTAGTGCTGTGAAGACAAGAGACACAGCAGCGGGCATCACACGCCCATCCCCATTGATTTAAACACACTGCAGAAATATTGAGAATGCATTCATTAACGTAATTATGTTTTGTCTTACACTTAAGTTTTCTGCACTAGAACTGAGCTGAGATTTTTCTAAACTTTCTGTATTTATGCTTGCTGCTGTGATTTACTTTGTCTTTAATTGGTCACAATTTTAAATGAAGACTGAACATTAGTAACCTGCTTGATTCTCTTTGTGGTCTTTACCATTTAGCAGGCCAATTAGGCCAAATATTAACCTTTGTATATTTGTGTACAGTACAGACTTCCCATGTTCTTACCAATGATTTAGGTCTAATCAAATAGTAACTGGTCCATGTCCCTGAAAATTTTTGTGAAATGTGATCTGTTCCTTTACTAAATAATATGAATAGTTTGCAATGTTTACTAAAGATGATTTATGTATGCTTATTCTGTAATTGACAAGAGAAACATGCCAAACTAGATAAATTTATTATCATTTTCTAGGCAAAAAATCATGCAAAACTGGGATTAAAAGAAGTGAAGAGTAAACTGAAGCACAAGGTGTGTCTGTCATCATCTGATTTTCCTTGACTTTGGATTAGTTTGAATCCTGTACTTCACAAACCTTGGGAGATCTGTGTCCTGATTTTGGATTAGTTTGAAACATATACTTTATAAAACTGTGAGATTTGTTTTGATGGATTTTGAAGTCTGCTTTTCCCTTTGTTTTAGAATGTATTTTCATAACAAGAGTTCCGGCAACTGTATGCCATTCTGTCTGCATCCACCAAATAGTTTCCCTGCCATTTGCATATTTTATTACGATGTGGAGCTCTTCAAAGATGCTTTTTAACAGGGTGTATGTTTTATACATTGAGTATCTTAATATTACAATTCTTGTTTCATGAAGTTCTTGTTGCTGAGAATTTTAAAAAGTATCTTTAGCTTAGAATCAATCAAGAAATGCCATAATTTCGTTTTGTAGACTCATTCCAGTGGTGGTTACTACACATGGCAGAATATTCTTAACTTATAAAAGATCACATATGAGGATTAACTTTTGAAGCTATGCTTATTGCAGATTATTTGTGAATATTTATGTCTGTATATATTTGGTTTGATTATATTTTACATCTGTAAATTTTACTATCAGTTGTATTTTGAACTTTTACCTTTGAAGAAAGTAATACTATTCAAAATCTTGGATTGTAGTAGGGCTGAAAAAGTTATCTCCATATAATTTTTTAAAAATTAGTCAAAATAAAATTATTTTGGAAATTATTACATCATGCCACAGAAAACCGCATTTCCTCCTAAGTAGATTCTTTAAAATTATAACTAGTGTTTTGGGTTTTTTTGTTTGTTTGTCTTTTTGAGACAGGGTATCCCTGTAGCCCCAGCTGTCCTGGAACTCACTATGTAGAGCAGGCGAGCCTTGAACTCACAAAGATCCACCTGCCTCTGCCTCCCAAGTGCTGGGATTAAAGGTGTGCGCCACCACACCTGGCTTTTTTTATTTGCATGTTTATCAGATACTTTGTTAGTAAAATAACTTTGCTAGAAAAAGGAGTATTATAAAATAATTACTTTTTTGTTCATGTGCAGGAAAATGAGGAAGATTATGGGACTTGTTCTGGTTTGGTACAATATACACCAGTTTACACATTACACAATGAAAAATTTGGAGTCACAGAGAAGTGTAAGCTTTCCCAGGTAAAGTCATTAGCACTTTGTACCTTACATTCTCAAACTGTATTATATCAAGGGACTCTTTTTTTAAATATATTTTATTATTTTTATTTTATGCATATGAGTGTATTGCCTACATGTATGTGAGTGCACCCATGTCATGTAATGCCGCGGAGGTCAGAAGAGGGATTTGGGTTCCCCTGGAACTGGAGTTAAGGACCAAGGACTATTAGTAGCCACCATGTGGGTACTGAGAATCGAACCCAGGTCCTCTGCAAGAGCAGTCGGTGCTCTTAACCGCTGAGCCATCTCTCCAGCCCCTCAAAGGATTCTTTAGGAGTAACTTAGTCCTATTAATATTTATCTTATGATAAGAAATCAGCAATATTGATCATAGGGAAGAGTAAGTAGACTGTGGGCAGTCTACAAAGAACCACATGTGCCAGTTCCAGTCTGTATGTACAGGTTGGGCATTCCTGATCTGAAAATTCCATATATCTATATGATAACTAGTGTTTTGGGTTTTTTTGTTTGTTTGTTTGTCTTTTTGAGACAGGGTATCACTGTAGCCCCAGCTGTCCTGGAATTCACTTCCGCTCCCCAGGATCAAGGAAGAGTATTATGTCATTTATCACTAGTGGGAAAAATTTAAAAGTAGACATATGAGAGTTACTTCAATTCTATTGCTTTCTCTCATAGTACATTTTAAAAATCATGAAACCAAACCATCATAAATTGGGAACTGTCTGTATGTCTATTTTTTTCTGGAATTAGCTATTTTATTTCTGTTATTTAAAGCTTCTGTTCAAATGCTGATGTCATTAAAAATTTTTCCATGTGGCAAAGTGTTTAGAAAAAGAGCAGTGTATATCTCTTATTTTGTATCAGTAGTAGGCTTCTGTAGGTTTTCAATCAAGCAAACCTCGTATATCTCAAATTATACTTTGAGTACCTTTAGAAACCAACTTTAGAACAGAACCAGGAATAACTGCAAACCTCTTTTACTACAGTTGCCAGGGTGAAAAGCTAGGATGGTTATATCATTTGCCTGTGGCCCATAACTGATGAGTAGTAGAAAGGGACACACATCATCTCTATGGCCCGTAACTGGCCAATTGTAGGAGGGTGCGCACATTGTCTCTGTGGCTCATAACTGACGTCAGGAGGGGACACACGTCATCTCTGATGCTCCTTCAGGTTTCCTGGATAACCAGTATATGACTTATTTCTGTAGTTGCTAGGACAACAGACCTGACAAAAGTGAATGAAGGAAGGAAGAGTTTATTTTGGCTCACAGTTCAAGGGTGCGTCCATTATTGTAGGAAAGTCATGAAACTTGAGGCAGCTGGTCACATGGCATCTACAGTCAGAAAGCTCAGTGTGAATGCCCTGAGCTCCCATTTTCCTTTACATTCAGGCTGGGAATCCAGTGGTGCTGCCCACACTTAAAGTGAATCATTCAATCCCAATTAACTCAGTCAGTCTAGATGATTCTTCACCAAAATACATGAGATTCAAAAGACTAATAGGTTAGCAATCAAGAGGTGCTGTGAAATGTAGACCACTGTAAAATGTTTCTGTGTGTCTGTGTCTTAGACTGTTTAATGCTAACATAACAAAATATGTAAGATTGGGTAATTTGTAAGTAATAGAAAGATAATTCTCACAGTTCTCAAGGTTGGAGAGCCAAGGTAAGAGTACTCACATTTCATTAAAGCCTTCATGCTACCTCATCACAGGGCAGAAGGCAGAAAGGCAAGATAGAACAAGATGTAGGTGCTGGGGCTATGGTTTTAACATGAGTTTGGGAGAAAACAGTCAAACCTTAGCAGTTGTTAAGAATGGGAAAAGCCAACAAGGTGTATTAAAACTCTAGTTCTTTATGAAGAAGGCCCATTCATTTGATAGTTCAGCCCCTTCTATGTGCCAGACATTTTCTGAGCTACTAGGCATATAAAGGAAAACAAAAATTCTCTGCCCTTATGGGGCTATTTTTGTAAAATACTAAGTAATTTCTCTAATTTTTCCTTTTATTAATCTTATTTTTCATAGGTTATTATTGTTTATTTTCAGGGTATTATTAGTAAGTACTGATTGTGTTACCAAAATCAAGATTCTGAAAGAAATAATTATGTGTGTAGAAAGTTGCCCTTAGCACTGCCATTACATTATTATTAGTGTAATATCCTGTACACTAATTGTGGCTTTCCTAATGACTTTTCTGGGTTTTCTGACATCACTAATAATGTTCAAATTTTCTGCTTTTTCTCAAGCTTTAATATTAATATTTTAAATCTGTAAAATGTTTACTGGTTCCATAATACAGCATTTAAATGATATTTACTAAGGAGATCCTTTTTTATTTTTTATTTTTTGGTCAAAAAAAACTGATATCTTTATTACTAAAGGATATTTTAAGATGAAAACATTTAACTCACAGGGATGCTTTTTCCATTGTCCATATTAAGAGAACGCATTTTGATAAATAGACATATTACAGCATTTAAATGATATTTACCATGGAGATACTTTTTTTGGGTCAAGAAAACTTATATCTGTGGTGGTTTGAATGAAAATGTCCCCTGTAGGCTCCAAGTGTTTGGACGTTTTGTCCCGAGATGATGGCGCTGTTTTGGAGGTTTTAGAAGGTGTTGGCTATCCTGGAGGAAGCACATCACTGGGGGTGAGATTAGAGAGTTCTTAAGCCTTGCCAAATCTCCACTCGCTCTGTTGCTTCCTGCATGATGATGTGAGAGCTTCATTTCTGCTGCTTCTGCTCCAGCCACCTCTAGCCACCATGCCTCCCAGCTACGATGAACTGTAATTACCCTGGAACCGTAAGGTCAAATAAACTCTTCCTTCTATAAACTGCTTGGGTCAGGGTTCTATCACAGCAACAGAAAAGTGACTAAGAGACTAATTGGTATCAGGAGGGGGGTGTTGGCTGTGAAGAACCTGACCATGTGGGGTTTTGAAGAAATGTGGAAAACTTTGGAAGGTTGGGCTAGAAAAGTGGTTGACTGCTGTAAGCAGAGCTTAACAGGCCTTTCTAGTAAACACCTGGAAGAAAGCAATGCTGAGAACAATGTAGTTCCAGAGGGAAATCAGGATTTAAGCAGCACTTGGGATATTTTGGGGAAGAGTCTGGCTGGAGTCTGCCCTAGACCAAAAAGCTTGCCTGAGGCTAAGTTGAAAAGCCATGGACTAATTTCTTTGGTGGAAGAAATTTCAAGACAGCCTAATGTAGAAAAGGTGGTAAAGCTATTAATGGTGAATATTATGCAGATCTACAGTGAAAGAGAACAAATGGGGCAGAAAGAAATACAGTTTGGATTAAAAAAGAGCACTAGGAAGACAAATGTTGGAGCCCTAGCATGTGATGGAGAGGATCCCATTGATAAGGAGATTAAAGTGATTAAGGAGAGGCCTAGAGATTCAGACTTAAACAATGCAGAGAATGCCTCCAGGGCAAGACCACACCCAGCTAAGCCTCCAGTTTATGAAAGGAAAATGCTGCAGGGGCCACTGAAGAGAAAAGCTTCTAAAATGGATAAAGCAGGCTGGGGTCCATCCCAAACTTGCAGTCAAACTTGGCAGTGTTGCTCACCTGGTGCTGGCTTTAGAGGCATGAAAGATGGAAGAGTGAAGAGGTCATCAATTCTTCCTCCAAGGTTTCAGAGTGCCTCAGAGGCCAGGTAGCGTGAAGCATGGGTGCCCCTGCCTAGAGAAGGCCCTGATAGGCAATTACGTGAAGCTGTGAAGCTGAAGCCTAGTTGCCAGTGGAGACCCCAAGAAGTTCATGATGCCAGAGTTGTGAGGCATCTGCCAAGAAGACCTGCACGCAGGGAGTGGTATCAGCACAAGAGAGAGATGTGTGTTGCATGCAGCAAAGCTAGAGAGGCTGAGCCATCTAAGCCCTTTGAAAGTAAAGTCTTAGAAGTTGGACATGGAGCTACTGGATTTGTTGTTTGCCCTACTGGTTTTTGGTCTTGTTTTGGTCCAGTATTTCCTTACAGTGCTTCCATTCCTCCCTTTTGGAATGGTAATGTGTATTCGGTTCCACGGTATGTTGGGAGTATGTAATTTGTCTTTTGATTTTATAGAGGCTTACAGTTAAGGTATTTACCTGTGGACTGTGGACTTTTGAATCGTATTGAGACTGATAATGACTATGGGGACTTTTAAAGTTGGACTAAATGCATTTTGCATTTATTTGATCATGAGCCTATGGGGGCCAGGGGGTGGAATGTGGTGGTTTGAAAGAAATGTCCCCCAATAGGCTCCAAGTGTTTGGACATTTTGTCCCCAGATGATAGCGCTGTTTTGGGAGGTTTTAGAAGGTGTGGCTATCCTTCACTGAGGGTCACTGAGGGTGGGCTTAGAGATTTCTTAAGCCTTGCAAGAGCTCCAGTCACTCTCTTGCTTCCTGTGTGATGATGTGAGAGCTTCATATCTGCTTTTCCTGCTCCAGCCACCTCCAGCCACCTCCAGCCACCATGCCTCCTTGCCATGATGGACTGTAATTCCCCTGGAACCGTAAGCTCAAATAAACTCTTCCTTCTATAAACTGCTTGGGTCAGTGTTTCTGTCACAGCAACAGAAAAGTAACTAATACAATATCTTTATTACTAAAGGACACTTTAAGATGAAAACAGTTAACTCGCAGGAATGCTTTTTCCATTGCCTATTTTAAATTAAGAGAACTCATTTTGGTTTTAAATCATCCCATCTTTTAACCTATGCCATGCTATTTTCTGTTTTTCATTTCCTGGTACTTTCTAGAAATGGATTTCTTTTTAAAACTTTTATATACATAAAGTGCACAATATGTTTTTATATACATGACAGAATCATTACTACATTTAAGTTAAACAAATTAACATCTACCACCTTCACAAGTAACTGTGTGGTGCCCAAGAGAATGTAAAAGCTATTCTTTTAGCTACTTTCAAGGATACAGTGCAGTACTATTAACTGTGGTTCTTAAACAGTACATCAGATGCAGAAAATTAGTTATGGATAGA